ATGGTGGGATGTCTGCTCGCTATCAACACCAGCACTGGTCAGTCACACCCAGTTCTGCAACCACACCTTGGAAATACCTCAGGTTGACCGGCTAGGAGAGCGCTCCTTTGTGTCGATGCACTATGAGGGAATTATCATTGTTGCTCAACAGTTGCTCAACAGGTTTGGATGCTGTCGTTTACCGGAAGGGGGAAATGCGTATGAGAGAAAACCGTCACCTGAGTTGTGTCGCAGGCAGACAAGTCATTCCTGACTCATCTTGACTGACTGACTTACAAGATGCATAAGTTATGCGTCTAGTCAGGTGATCGTAATTCAGAGCAGCGGGTAAAACAATAGCCCGCCTGGATACAATTCAGAATGCTTGTCCTTCTCCCTGCCGACTCTGATAGCCATGGAATTGCTGGGTCGATCTTCGAAGGCCTGCAAAAACCTTAAAACTTTTCTCCATAGGACAGTATTATCAGCTTGGACAGACGGGAAAGGGTCGGGACAAAGTCAGCTTCAATTGACAACCATACTAACTATAATCTTCCACCCAATAAATTCCTTCGTCAACAATCAATATGCACCAGCTGTGATCAGCTCAAGTTCATTATCAAAACGCCCGGTATGACTGAGACTGCTACCAAGCTGCACTATGTATATCACTCGATCCCAATACAGTGTCTTAATGATCGTCCACATTCGAAAACTAGTGAAGAAAAGAAAACTTTCGAATCGGCATTTAGCTCGGCAGGCGCCATGGAATTCAGGCACGGAAACCCGAACCGGATGCGGCCCCGGACGTCGGCGATACGATCAACAACGCTAGTTGAGATCACGAGAGGATGAATCTTCCATCCTTTCTTCTCTCGAGCATCTTTCAAAGTCCACCCATAGATCTTACTTAGATTTTCGATCAGTCAGTCCACTTGCCCCAGCAACAGATAGCCCGAGAGACAGTTGACATACCATGGCTCCTCCTCGGAGCTCTGGTGGATCCAGACTGTCCAAGGTGCTCAGGTATGACATTCCGCACTCCATGACTTAATCTGCAGCTAGCAGGAGCTGAGATTCCCTTCACAGCACACTCAATCCAAGGACTTGGATGCGACGCCTGGACCTGGATACTCGATCCTCTCTCATGATGCTGAAAGGTGCTTTGCCACCGACCATTGTCATTGCAATGTGGGCGAATCTAGTACCAATACATATCAAAGCAGTTGACTGAAGCCCGCGATAGTTATCAGAGCAGCTCAATTGCGGACATCACCCTGACTATCGGCTACCTATCTGCGTTGATCTCCGTCCTGTCGCAGGCTCTCATGCCCCGCGCGAAATTCATGAAGATCATGTTCTTCGATCTCTTGTCCACCTGCGTATCCGCATCGCTCTGTTGTCTAGCAATATTCTGTGCTGTAAAGGCAAGAGAGCACAACACCCCGAAAGACGCAAGCGAGAGTGTCCGCACTGGCTTCAGCAGCGATGCTTGCGCCGTATCGGCCATATGGCTTATATTCATGATCTGGTAATTGCGCTGCCTCGATTGCGATACTGACAGGCAACGCTGACAGTTCTCTGTAGGGGCGCGAATACAATTCGTGCCTGGAAACCGATGGAGCTACAGGATCCTATGGTGGCGTTCTCAATCTTCTGCTCTGTGACCATCACCCGAGCCGGGACATTCGTGACACTATCTGACGGGTTGAGCTTTGTCAGCCGATTGTTGAAGGGGTTTATGCTGGGGTTTGCGATTGCCATCGGTGTCTCTCTCTTTATATTACCGATCACGAGCCGAGGACATGTTTTCGAGGACATCAAGGGCTACGTCGCGCAGATTGATGCCGTGCTCCGAGCTCATATCGAATTCGTAGGGGAGAGTCCAGATATGTGGACTGGCAATCAGAGTCTTCTCAGTCGAACCCGGACTGCTCGGAGTGTGGCTGAAGCAGGGAATAATGGGGTTTCGAATTTGGAAGCAAAGAAGAAAGCTCTCGGCGCGGCAGTAACAAAGTTGAATGCCTTGCATGGGAAGTTGCAGTCGGATATGTTTTATTCGAAGGATGAGATCGCCTGGGGAAAGCTATCGGCTGATGATCTGAGTAGTATTGGTGGTCTGCTACGAAGCCTTCTGCTGCCTCTGTCGGGAATGGCAATGCTTCCTGACATCCTCGAGATGGTTGTGAAAAATGAAGGGACCCGCAACAACAGTGTCGGATCGTGTGAGAATGGCGAAGAGGCACCAACGAAGCAAGCTGAGCTGCAGAAAGTTGCCGAGACACTTCATAAGAGATTGGTGGAGTCTGCTCACCTAGTAAAAATCGGCTTGCAATATGTTCTGTTGAGATTGGAACTCAAGAAGAGGAAGCACCTTGAGAGATTGTATCAGGAAAAAGATGAGGAGGCAACAGGCGAGATGCCTAATCCGTTGCAGCAGGGCTTCACAGCACTACTACAGCGAGAGATCAACAAGTATTATTCCCGACGCAAAGACCTCGCAAGGACACTGGCCTCTCTTGAGGCATTTTCATTGTCCGAAAATGCCGACTATGCCTCATCGAACAACGACCAGAGAGCCGTCGCAGCTGATCCTGATGTGAAACAGGAATTCTTCATGATTCTGTACATGGGCCACTTGCAAGACAACATTCTGAAGGCGACACTCGACCTGGTCAAATTCGCAGACAATAAGATTGACGATGGCACGATGAAACGCAACCGACTCATTTTTCCGAAACAGAAGACTATTTTGCAGTGGTTGTCTCCTGATTCTGAACAAAAGGAATCAGGAGAAGGCTCTGGCCGACGACAGTCTTCCCACGTCAATCCCTCCGCCGTCTATGAAGAGCGCGAAGCAGAGACATTTCCAGACCCTGAACACCTGCCACCTGCCAATTTCTTCGAGAAAGGAAGCATAGTGCTGCGCGTTATATCGAAAGTCATCAAGTCTGAGCAGAGCATTTTCGGCTTCCGCGTGGCAGCAGCGGCATTTTGCGTCGGTATCCTAGCCTTCCTGCGGCAGACCCAGGACTTCTTCATCCACCAAAGATGTATCTGGGCCATGATTGTCATTGTTATCGGTATGAACCCAACGAGTGGGCAGACTATGTTCGGCTTTGTGGCTCGAATTGCTGGAACGGTCGTGTCGATGGTCTTGAGCTTGATCGTGTGGTACATAGTGGATGGAAAGACTGCAGGAGTCATAGTGTTTCTTTACATTGGAAACATATTCGAAGTAAGTCTGTGAGGGGAAAATTCCAAATTATTCACCGCTGACCCTCCTGGCAGTACTACTTCTACATCAAGGTTCCTCAGTACTTCGGCGCAACTGTAATTGCCATAGTGACATTCAACGTCATCGTGGGATACGAGTTACAAGTCCGCCCCCCTTCTCTGCATTCTTTACAATCAATTCTCAGGTCTAACTGGATTTCAATGTTCTCTAGGTCCGCAAACTCGGAGTCGAAGTCGCCACCTCGAACGGCCAGCCCTATTACCCCATCTACATCTTCGGCCCCTACAAACTCGCCGCAGTCGCCGCCGGCTGCGCCATCTCCTTCTTCTGGGTGATCTTCCCGTACCCAATCACCGCCAAATCGACCCTCCGCAAAGCCCTCGGACGGGGCCTCTTCGTCCTCGCCAAATTCTACAGCTGCATGCACACGACAATCGAGCTCTGGCTCAACGGCGAGCTCGGCAGCCTCCACGACGACGTGCGCTCCGCATCCCACCACCTCGACTACACCCGCCACAAAATCTTCAAGGAGGAGATGATCCTCCTCAACAGCCTCCGCATGCACAGCCACTTCAGCAGCTTCGAGCCCCCAATCGGCGGCAAATTCCCCAAGCCGACCTACGACCGCATCATCGGCCAGATCCAGCGCACGCTCACCAGCATGGCGCTGATGGCACACACCACGCAGAACCTGGACGCGTTCTCCGCGGACCCTCCCGGTGGTGGCAATCATCCCCAAAACAAATGGGTCGCGAGACTGGCGTCGATCGCGCTGCAGTCCGCGGGCTTCAAGTCGCACCAGACCACCTCGCTGCTCTGTCATCTATCGGCGTCGATGACGAACGCGCAGCCGCTGCCGCCGTATCTCTCGACGGGCGACTCTTTCCCGCTGGTGAGGGAGCTGCAGCGCATCGATGGCGAGTTGCTGAGCATCCGCCATGTCGAGGATCCGGCGTTTTCGGCGTTCGTATGTCTGGAGGTGCTGCGGTCGGTGGTCAGCTTTACTCTGGACGATTTGTTACGGTATGTTCCTTGTAAGGTGAAATTAAGGGATTGATACAGAGATTTGCTAACACAGTATGTCCAGTGATGTGAGAAGTCTCGTCGGAGAACTGAGCTTCGACTTCCATGTGCGCCACGCGCAGGATAATGCTGAATCGCAGCGCTTGATGTCAGAAGTCGATGCTTGAACTGACTGACAGGTGTATCTGCTTTGGGATTCGTACATAGTGCTGCATTAACGTATATATCAATATAAATAATTGTATATTCACGGTTATAACGAGTTTCGGTACGCAGATGACCTCGGCTGCATTTAGATCCACTTGTCGGTTCGCTTCTCTCACAGTAATAATGGGTCATAGTAGCCCTTGTTGCAAAATATTTCATCAGCAAGGCCTGCTGGCCCAATGGTAAGGCGCTTGACTACGAATCAAGAGATTGCAGGTTCGAGCCCTGCGTAGGTCATTTCTTTTTGCTTTTTTTCATCCACCTTTGCGGTATGTACATACGTGTGCGGGTCTCGTCACGAGGACTCGTCGCCAACGAACGAAGTCATGCATCATGTCATATCTTTTTATTCGTACGAAAACTATCATACTTGCGGATCTCCAGACAATAATCAAGAGACTTGGTCGGGAATTAGGACGGGTCCGTCGGTATCTTGGGAGACTTGCTCTACCTCTTGACCTGGGGCATGATAGGCTTGTAGCAAAGCAAATCTGGAGCCTACTCGCTACTGCTTGTCTGCCGAACTGTATGATAGTCAACCACCAATAGGTCTTAGGACTCTGGATAAGGTCCCAAGGTGCGATCGAAGCAAGGGTTTAGCTTTCTTGGCTATGAAGAACAAATATTATACATTCGAAGTATACAGAAATGAAAGCCGGGCTTCTTGATCTGGTTTTGTGCCGCAACCTGATGAGCGAAAGAAGAAGCGACGCGGACACCTGCCACAGTCTACCTCTAGCAAGAAGCGCCCGAGGGAACGTTCTCGCAGTCGGAGCTGGTCTCACCACCGGTGATGTCAACCCCGGACCAGGTCCAGTCGGAGCAGCTGCCGTCACCGCAGAGGATGTATACCTGGACAGCGTCATCCTCGATCGAGCCGGTGATGCCATCAACGGTCACGTCGGTGATGGGGACACCGGTGGAGGGGGTACCAGTAGGGCTGCCGTTCTCGTAGTCCTGCTCGATGACGATACCGTAGTCGGTGATGCCGGAGAGCTGGATGTTGGAGTAGGTAACCTCGCTAACATCACCGGTGTCGCCGTAGATGGTCTTGATGCGAACGCCGTTGGCCGAGTCCGTGACGGTCGAGTCCGAGATGGTCACGTTCTTGACGGTGTTGTCATCACGGCCACCAACGGAGCCGATGGACAGACCGTGGCCACCAGAGCAGGTACCGCCGGTGAAGAGGATGTTCTCGCCGGAGTTGATGGCGATGCAGTCGTCCTGGTTCTTGACGGTAGCACCGCTGATGTACACGCCAGTACTCTCGCTGATGTCGAATCCATCGGTGTTGTGGCCACCGTTGTCGTCACCGTCGGAGTTGTCGATGGTGATGTCGGTCAGGTAGACATTGGTCGCCTGCACACTGATCGCCTGCACCGGAGTGTTCTTGATCTGCAGACCCTTGATGGTCGAATCCTCGACATCGTGGACGTACATGAACTTGGGCTTGGTCTTGCCACCGTTGGTGCCCTCGCTGTCCCACCAGCGGGAGCCATCACCGTCGATGACAGCACCATCAGACTGGGTGATAGTGAGCTGCTTGCCGCCGAAACGGATAAGAGGACCATCCCACTCCTCGTAGCCGAAGCTGGTGGTACCCTCAAAAGTGATCTGATATCGTCAGTTGGGCCTGGACCTAGGGGATGTTGTAAGAAGACTTACGGTAGCACCGTCAGCGGCGTCAGACAGGTCAAGGGTCTCTCCGGCGGGCACTTCGATGTTGCTGAGGACGACGTTGGAGCACGAAGAGATGCTCTCGCTAGCCTCGCTGGCAGACGTGAAAGTGCAGGTAGAAGAGGACTTCTTCACAAGGTCGGACACGCGAGAAGCAGTAGGGGCGGCCGAGACGACGGAGCCGACAGCGGCCAGGCCGAGAAGCTGGAAGGAGTGCATGATGGATTCTGGTCAACAGAAACCGTGATAAAGAGAGAATCAAGGAAGGAATGAGTGTCTGATCAACAGATTCAAAGGAGAGAACGTGGTTGTTGAGACGATCAGAGTAAGAAAAGAAGTAAAGCTTTTATACCGTGAAGGCAGCGTCTGGGTCCAGGTGCTCGATAACAGGTCCCACCCGATATCAATCTCGAACGGCTATCGGGCGCTCCACGGACTTCCTCGAATCCACGCTGTTTCACCATACCCGTTCGTTGGCTCGGCAGTCGGCGTCTCAACGTCTCAGAGAATCACAATCAATGATGATCGTCGTCATCGAGTCTCAAACTGAATAGCTCGGGTACAAGGGTGGGCCCTGACTGCCGATCCCATGCCGCACTGCTTCGGCAAATTCGCGGTTCAAATGCAGTGAAAACATCCGATGTCCGAGCCAGTGGGCTTGGCAACTTGCTTAGCAAGTCTTAGTCTTGTGTGACGAGTCTTGTTTTGCTGGGCATGGCATGATACGAAACGAAGCTTCCATCAGTCGTGGCGGCACGGCGCATCGTCATTGCTCAGCGGGCCAACAACCCTGAGGCGGAACGGTCGGAAAGACTCTGCTTCTTGCCTCAAGAGGCTCGTCTCGAGTACAATGAGTACGTAGGCCTGGTCAGAGTGAGCGGCGTGAGCTGCCCCTGCATACTGCCAAGAATCATCTCCGACTTCTTGGCTCATATCAAACGATATTAAGGGCATTCCTTCCGCTCCAGAAGCGGCTAAGCCACTCGCCGGAAAATGTGCGCCGGCTTTTCTGGCGACAACTGAATCCAGGAAGATTCTTCCACGAATCTAAAACGTCGCTCTGTCTTAGTGAAAGGCTTACGCGGAGAGGCCTGAGGGTTGCCGATCTCGTCTTTATGCTTCGGATGGCCCGGAGTCGAACCCCTTTGTTCAACTTCACAATCTTATATGCGGCGATTTTTCTATTTTGGTGCTTTAACGCTGGAAGTATTGCCAACGTTGGTGAGCATTGATTGATATCCTCTTTCTTCATCACACAGGGCTTGAATGCTGTAGATGAGGGAACGGTGGCCGCAGTGAGACTGCCTTTTCGCTTTGTCGCACCTGCCAAAACAAGTCGAAATCCGCAACATGTCATGGGGGTGAGAAGTGTCAGGTGGTGATGCTGATCACAATCATCTATCGCTATCACTATCAACGAGTTTCCAGTATCTGTAGTCATGAAGTGGTTTAGTTTCATCCTATTCCTCTTGGCCATCAAGGTCATTTTGTTCACTTCACTCACAGCAGCTGATTGCTCGCCCCGCCAGATTCATCAACCCTCTATCCCGGGTATTGAGGTGGTAGCGTCCATGGTCTTCCCTGTGTTTGACATGGAGATTGACGGACTTCAAGTCAATCCGATCAAGCATCGTCGAGTCAGCGCGACCTTCTGCAATGTCAGCCTGACTTACACCCACCCCGGCTGGGATGATTCGATCAACATCAAGGTGTGGCTGCCTCTCTCGGGTTGGAACAAGCGCCTGCAGGGCATCGGCGGCGATGATTTCGCGGGAACCCGCGGTGACGGTGCTACGGCCTTGGCAGTGGCAGGGGGATATGCAGCAGTCAGCTCCGACTTGGGGCATAATGCATTCGCCCTGTCGGCACGAGAATGGGCGCTCGATGACGAGTCGGGGCATGTGAACGTGGCCCGGCTGCTGGATTTCTCCTCCGTTGCTTTGTCCGAGATGGCTATTCTGGGGAAGGATATTGTCCAACAATTCTACGGTGAGGTGCCGAGGTGTTCCTACTGGAACGGATGCGCTGGGGGCGGTCGCCAGGGGATGATGCTCGCGCAGAGGTTTCCCGATGCTTTTGACGGAATTCTAGCTGGCTCTCCATCTCTCAGCTGGGCGCATTCTATGCCTGCGAGCTATTGGTCCAACTTCGCGATGCGTGTGCTGAACACCTATCCATCCCCCTGTGTGATGAACGCTATTGCTGCGGAGGTCATTAAAGCCTGCGACGACCGCGATGGAGTCGTCGATGGAATCATTACCGAGCCAAAGCTTTGTGACTTCAATGTGCTTTTCCTGGTCGGCAAGCATGTTGATTGCGGTGACGGAGTCGACGTTGAGATTACGCTTGACGTGGTCACCTTGGCCCAGAAGATGTGGCAAGGCATGCGCGATCAGTATGGTGTGCCTTTATGGCATGGCTTTTCACGGGGCTCGTTATGGCATGGCACCGAGTGCTCCTCATCAGAAGCGGTCCACAATCATAGTTGTAGCCCGACACTCTAGCGCGTCATGATTGACTGGCTGTCGCTGTTCCTCGCGCAGGATCCAGATCTAGATTCATATCAGTTGAAGGTGACATATCCAGAGTTCATAGGCTTATTTCGTCTCTCGGTGGCCGGGTTTCAGTCCATAATCAGCGCCGACTCTCCTGACCTCCACGAGTTCAAGAAACACGGTGGTAAGATCATTCACTGGCATGGGCTGAACGACGAAAAAATAGCCCCGGGTGGGTCCAAGGCCTACTATGCAGCTGTGGCAGAGCGTGATCCTGCGGCCATGGACTTTTATCGGTATTTCGAGGCTCCGGGGGTCGGTCACTGTGGCTCGGGCCCGGGCCCTGCTCCTTCGGCCTTGATGGCTGCATTGACAACATGGGTGGAAATGGGAATCGCCCCGGATAGTCTTCCGGCTGTATCAGAAGATGGGAGTCTCTCGAGGATTGTGTGTCCATACCCATTGGTAGTCACCTACCTGGGAGGAGATCCGGATAAGCCCGAGGCTTTTGGCTGTTGGGGATCAATGGGAGTACCGAGTGGTGAGACGAGCTGGCCTTTGTATGGTGAATTGAGTTGGTACGATGTTGAGACAGTCGTTTGGGAATAGAACGTGGATCAAATATAATGGGTTGTAGGTAGACTTAGGCTTTTAGGGGGTAGGTACTGTGGTGTGAGAAGAATGTAGCAGCCTAGCTATGGAATTGAATTGAATCCACACTCTTATGTGACTTGTGTGGAAGGGAAATCAGAAGCAAAAAGTGAGGGCCGAACGCGGATCGAACGCGTGACCTCGGGATCTGCAATCCTACGCTCTACCACTGAGCTACCGACCCATTTGTTGATACGTCATCAAACAAGATAAGTCATACGCGGATAACATAATCAATCATCATCAATTCATCACTCTTCCTCCATTGCTTTGACATCGTCCAGCCATGACACATGACCGCCTTCAAACTTCTCAATTCCTGCAGCCATTCCTCTAGAAGACTGTTGAGAGCATTTGAGCTTCAATTTGACTTGAAGAGAACATTCTGACATGGTTGATTTGAATTTTTCCCTTTTTTCGGCCGAACAGCCGCAGAGTCGTTTAGTATATATTCGCACCTCGGATCGAACCCACTTTACAACCACACACCAATAGTATAACCCACCGCTACACTCTTAAATGAGACTGCCCGGGCACATACACAATCCAAGAGTTGACACACAAAAGCACCACAACGAAGATCAATGAGCGAATCGGAAATCCAACCGCTTGCTCCCAGTTTCTGTCGTGGTGTTAATGTAATGCTGCCGTTGCTGCAAGATAGAACAAGAGATCATTAGCAGCTGTTTCAAATCTTATGAACAAGTAGTAGGAGTAGAAAGAGAGAACCCACCTCCTCCGTCATAGCATTCCAAACCTTATCCCTATGCTTGTTCCGCAAGACATAGTACACCTTCGTAAGCAAGAACAACACGATAGCGAGGACGTTGATTCCCAGAAGTATAGAGTTTCCCCGACGGTACTTGGGTTTATCGTCTGTACGGTAGATGTTGTTCCCGATGATGCCGCCCACTTGGACGAACACTGGATGTAGCAGGGGTTGTCATCGTTAGTACTTGTATACAGAGGGGCTTGAGAGGGTGGGTTGATTTTCATCAATTCGAGATGGATCACTCCGATACTCTTTTGCTGGTAAGGGGGAGTTAGGGGGTAGCTCACTGTTGTATAGCGCCGCAGAGATCGTTCGCGTGCCTACGTTGTTCGAGTTCTTCGAGATCCACCCGACCAGAATCGCGTGGCAGTACGGGTAGCACAACAGCGTCGTTACGAGGCCGAAGGTGCCCCATGCGTTAGTCATGGTGCCGGACCAGAAGCGCAGAGCGATGACGCAGGGTAAGGTCCAGATGCTTTGGAGCATGGCGACGAAGGTGCGTTCGTTGAGGTATTCGCTCAGGCGGGTTAGGAGGAGGAGGGTGATGATGTGGCCGACGCTGGAAGGGATGGTGAGGAGGTTCGTGGTGAACTGTGTTTCAGTTTAGTATTGGTTGACCTTGCTGGAGCTGACGAGGGGCTGAAGGGGTTCGTGACTCACCGTACTGAAGCCGACGCTCTTGAGTGTGAGGGTTATATAGGCTGAAACGGGTGTTTGAGGGATGTAGACGATCAAGCCGAGGATGTAGATGGGCCAAAGGTCGTAGTCGCGCAGAGAGTTCCAAAGGCGGCGCGGGGTGATGGGTTGACGATTGTGCATGTCCCCTGGTGGTGTGGTATGAGCTTCATGGGTCCGAGAGAAAATACTGTATGAGGAGAAAGAGATGCAAATGCTAACCTTTAGAGGGGTCGTCACGGAGGACCCTGTTGACCACGATGCTGACTTCCCGATCTGTGAACCATCCCTTGGGGCGGAACCACTTCTTCGTGTCGACGGCAGAGGCAGGCATGCGAAAGAACGAGGCCAACCCAACGAGGAGCGTGATTAGCCCTTCGATAAGGAAAAGCCACCTCGAATACCATAGCTCAGTTCACGCCCACGAGGCTCGAGAAGCATGTACTCACCTCCAGCCGGCCATGCCTTGGATGCCTCGCATGTGGAGAACCCCAAATGCGATGAATGAGGTGATAATGGTGGTGGTTGAAAGAGCAGTCCAGAATATACTAAGCGAAAGGTGAGTATATATGTCACGAGCCTAGCTAAGTATGAATACCTTAAACGAGTCGGGAGTTCTCGGCTGGTATAGAAGTAAGACAACCACAGAACGATATCAGGAATAAAGCCACCCTATTCGAAGGTAAGAGCAAGGAAAACGATTCCCCGAAAAGTTTAGTTACCTCGAGAATTCCTAGAAGCGCTCTTGTAGCGTAGAAAGTCCGCTTCCCAGTCAAGCCAGCCTGGGCTGCTGCAACGATAGACCAAAGAGTCATCTGCATCGGGATCCACCGATCAGGGCCCATCTTCTTGGACACCAACTGTGACGGCAATTCCGCAAGCAGAAAGGAGACGAGAAAGATAGTGTTACCGGTGTTGTAGTCTATTCATATCAGCCCAAGTCCACAATCTTAGAGGACCGATTGCCTTACCATCGGTCGTCAGCCCAAGGTCATTCAGCAAGTTATCTGACACCGCTTGGACGAGATTGCCTCTGTCCACCTGAAGACCAAAGAACATCACACACTAAACACCCAGTCAGTGAGCCCGTTATACAGATAAGCACAACAAATGTTGACATACAGCCCATAGACACACACGCCAGTCCAGTTTGCGAACCAGCGCTTTCTCTTCCTCCGGGGTCCATGTGAGGGTCGGATCAAAGACGTGTCGGCACTCGTACTGCGCCTTCTCATAGATCATGGCGTAGCGCTCCGCGACCTCTGGGTCCGTGAACGGATTGTGTCCCTGTAAGTCGGAAGCGCTATCAATGAACTGCTGTGTCTGCACATAGACGCCATCTTTGCTTCCGACCGAGTCCTGTACGGCTGAATGACTCGTTGGGTGTGGACCAACGATGTCGCTTGCTTTAGCCATGTTGCGCAAGGCACGTCTATAAAGAAGCACAGATTGACAATTGCAGGATGTCCAGTTTCCAGTTTCGCGATATGTCATGAGAGGGAGATTGTCTTCAATTTGAACTGTCGACATTTCTAGCACGCCATTGCCAAGCTGGTCGCGTATAGTGCCACAGGTTGATCGAGAACGTTTATCGCCGAAGAGCGGCGATATAGCCGGATGCAATGATAGAATGCATGCTATAGAAAGCAGAGTCACCCTGATAGAGCACACCAAAGTCATTAGTGTACGGAGTATGTACCTCGCCGTGAGCTCGCAATCCCTAGTTCGGATTGTCAAGGGGGGATAGATAAGCGTACTTTGACGGGATTTGTCCAGACATCGGCATTCGCAACAGGGTTCACCTAGAGGCAACACTCCCCGCTTCTTCGTCTTTGCCAAGTTGTTGGTGCGGCATGAGGGAGCAAAGATAATGTTGCGGTGATGCCTTTAGTGTGAAGATGGCGTCATTGTGAGGGGCTGCCCTTGCTTGCCCATCTCAATTCCACAGCGATGAAAAAGAATGGCTATCTAAAACAGCGCCTAGACTGATGGATTTCTAAAAATCTCTTTGGGGTATCTTCTAATCTAAAATCTATGCATATGATGAGAATCGGGCTGGTTCACACCGGGCCATTTGTGGGTTCCAGTATCTCGGCGTATCGATTGAGAGAGCGGCCTATTAGGTTGACCAGTTGCCATATATAGTCTCCTGTAAACAACCTCGCCCAGAGCCTTGTCACAGTTGCACTTAGTCTTGTGTTATTCGACAGGAGCCAGTCGCGGGAAACACCGTGCTGGACTTCCATGACCATCTCTAACACAAACTCAAGCAGCTTGCTCTCTTGTTCAGTCAGACTCGGCTGTGGATTCGTTACCGTCGCCACCTCTAGCCACTTGGCAAGTAGAACGGCACATTCAAGCGAGCACAAGGCGTACTGATTGGACCAGGACACGACAAGAGTGTGCGCCACATAGTTTATGCCCAGTTTGATGGGTGTGCTGAGCGCGTGAGCACAGTGTAATGCGGCGCGAGTAAGTCTGTCGCTCCGTTGCACACATAACTCATCCTTCAGGGAACGGGCTATTTCATCCGGATTCCAGGTTTGTAGTCGTCGCGCGGAGCTGAAATCGGCATTGAGACGGATATATGCTAAACGGAGGAGGGCTGTCGAGGTGAAAGAGAGCGGACCGTGAGGGTTGAAAGGATCGATGGAGGATTCCTGATTGTGTTCCCAGCACTGACACCAATTTTCCAACGCCTGTTCTAGCGAATTGATCACTGCTGGTGATAAGAAACCACCACTGGAGACGGGAAGGCGACTGGCTTTTTGCATCAACCAGATATTTTGAATCATTGCGTGAATCAGTACATAGCCGCCCATTGAGGAGAAGCTTTCTAGGCGACCTTTGGCCCCAGATGATTGTGGAAAAAGAGCATTCAAGGCAGCCTGTAGCTTAGGCTCCCCGCGGCTTTGGCTTCTCTCCATAAGCCATTGACTCGCACTCGTCGCATTCCATTCCTTTTCTGTGCAAGGCAAGTCAAGAGTGAGCTCTTCAGTCAGGATCAGCGGTGGTATGTCAAACACAATAGTATGGACGCTGAAAAAACAAAAGACAATCAGTTTCGTCCTCTTGACACATTCGTTGCGAATCCAGCTCTCCCAAGTCCCGTCCTGTGCTGGTAGCTCGTTCAATCCCCCCTGTCTGAGAAGAGTTTCCATGGTGCTTCGCATGTAAAGAGCCTCGTGATGTGGTGGGTCGCGCTCAAACCAGCATGACACGGACATCAGTATAAGAAATGACTGAATAGTTTCGATGATGTCCTGATCTCTAACCGCCTTGTCGACATGACTTGCCACTTGGTGAGTGGAGCAACCCCACTGGAATTCTCTCCGTACATGCTCAAGAGTGACCGCCTTCGCCACCTTAAATAATTCCAAGCTCGTGTCAGGCTCGCGGCAGTACTGAGCTCCCAATGCGGCCATAGAGAGAAGCAGATGCACGGGAGTCGCATCTGTGTCGAGCGTGGTGATGTGCAAAAATGGATAGTGGTCATGAAAACCATTCATAT